CCAGGGCCCCCCTGTGCTGACCCCTCCTGCTTCTGATGGGGCTGGTGCAGCTGCAGGCTGAGTGTACTGCACAGAGCTCACATGCTTGTGTCCCAGAGGGCAGGTGTGGGTAGCATGGTCACCAGGGTGGACAGAGAGGCACTTGGCTGGAGGAAACCTTCACCTCCCCTGGCCCTGGGTGTCCTGAGCAGACCCTGTGAGTCAGGCCTGCCTCCCAATGCTCTGGTTTTCTTCGGGGCTCCTTGCCTGTGTCCACTGTGGTGTCCAGACCTCAAGACCACAGACACCTGGGCCGAACTCCTTTAGTCCTGGCCTCCCAGAGAAAGGGTCTGAGCAGCCCTGTCCTGTGTAAAGTGCCCCCGGGGAGTATGTGGTTTCTGGACTGGGAGCCAGGTGGGTGGACCACGGGCCTCTGATGCCCTTTGTGAGGAGGAGCTGGGAGCCAGGGCACTCTCTGTGCTGTTTCAGGGCCCAGGAGCAGGAGGACCCTGAAGAGAACTGAGTATGGGTGGGTGCTGGGCTGGTCAGGTCTGCAGGTTCATATGGGAGAGAGGAAAAGCCCTGAATGTGGGAGAGCATGGGTTCTGAGAGAAGGTTTTGAAGTAAAGGTATTGAGATCTTCAAAACACAATTTAACTGAATTCCAAGAAAAAGAAGAGGATTTTAGAGGAAATACATCATCCATACTTAATATTTTAATAGAGTATCAATATCTTTTCTCCTAAACCCAAAACAGTTAAAATCATACATCGAGGATAAAATCCATTTTATAAAGTAGAAGGAGTAAAATATAAAACCAACAGTGAGATTATGAAATTCAGATTCATCAATTATGAACAGTTTTCCTGTTGTGCTGCTCAGTTTGAACTCAGGTCCTCATGGTGCTGAGCAGTGCTGCACATCTGAGCCCAGGGCTCTTTATCAAACAAAAATAAACACACAAAGCTCACATAGCTACAGTCTCATCATTAAGTCAGAATAAAATGTTCCCAAACAGAGAAGTGCTGAGAAGCGGAGCTGCTGCTGCTCTTTCTACAGCAACAGAGAGTGGAGCAGGGCTGTGCATGTGAGGGAGAAGTGTGAGATACATTCATCTCTGTGTCACTTTAGTTCCTGCTTGAACTTGTCCATTTTGTGTTGAAACACTGTGGGCCTGTACACACAATGGAACAGCACTGTGGCTGCAGGGGACAGCACCAAAGATGAAGGAGAAACCTCTGGGGAGGACCTCCTGTGAGATGAAGGCTTCTGCTTGGGTAGGAAGAGAGAAAGCACTGCTCCACACCCGGTTTCTCAGTTCCTTAAGTATAGAGTTCAGACAAAGGTGACTGGGTGCCAAAGCCCTGTGTGGCTGGAGGGGGCCATTCTTAAGTGTGGCTGGGGTTTGGGAGTGATGACCCCCTCATGTGTGAATGATTGATGGGTACCCTCTGGACGGCCTCCCTGAAGAGAGGCACACAGCCAAGTCCACTTCCATGAACATGCACATTCCAGATGACTCTTTTCTAACTTAATCCTTGTGGGGACAACTAGTCTGTTAAAAGAAGGATAAATCTGAGTCATTTGTAGGAAAATGAATGCACCTTGAAAGCTGAATGTTAAGTGAAATAATTCAGATACACAAACTTAAATGCTCATATGGTAATTCAAAGTAAATAAAAAGCAAAAAAGAGGAAAGAGAAAACAAGAAGATAGATCTTTTGCAAGTAGGAAGAAAACCGAGAGATGGAGTAAAATGGCAAGGGCAGGAGGAGGAAGGGATGTAAAAAAAATCTAGGATGTGCCATGCACATGTACTAACATGCACAAGGAAAGCAGGCATATGTATTACCAACCTGTACTAACAGGTTAAAAAATGTAAACAGGAGGGCTGGGGATTTAGCTCAGTGGTTCCCCTGCCTAACTCAAAAGCAGAAGATCCTGAGTTTGATCCCTGGTACAAAAAAAAATGTAAATGGGATAGCTCTGACATATATTCCCTCACCTTGATACTGTGACTACAAGTATGTAGCTAGCTATCAACAGATTATTTTATCATTTAATCAATTTATTAATAGAAGTTCAGTTATAGGTGACAGATTCAATGGGTTTGCTTTTTGACCCACTCTCAGTCTAAACTATTCTCCATTCAGTTTTTCAAGTGGATGGCACATAGCTGCACAAACTAGAAGTATGCATTCAGGGATGAAACTGTTATGGTTTGTCAATGTGCCATAGAAATGCTTGTCTATAAAAAGTTGATGATATAGCTCTATGTTCAAAGACTGATTACTGTGATTACAGAAAATTTAGCATATATAAACTTATCCTTTACCTTTTCTGGTCATGCATTTACTAAAACATCTTTCTTTACCCTTCCTGTAGGCCATTACAGGAAACAAAAATGTCACTTCTGTGATTTAGCACTATATTTGAACTTACATTATATTTATAATTATATTCATATTTATTTCCATTAATATGTTGGAAGTAATTTGGGTTTTTGAACAAGAGGAATATTCCCCCTAGACGCCTCACTATAATGATTCCTTAGAGAAAGCGGGTCTGATATAAATGATAGACTCACCCCTAACATGGATGCTAAATGTAAGTGATGAGTTTACTTTTCTTGACTGCTCCCATTGGTTGGCCTGATTATCCTGTGTTCTTCTTGCTGAATAGTTTTGTTGGTAAAATAATCTCTCTTATTCATAGTAATATGTTCTTGATATAGAAATAGTAAATATAACATAACTTTAATTTTATTCCAGTTTAAGGACCACGTATAATATTTTTGGTTAGCTGACTACTGCTAATTTCTTTATATAGCAAAAACTTAAAGCAATTACTTACTGAACAGGAAAAAAACTGTATAATACATTTAGCACTGACCATATACAAATGAGTAAATTATAAATAATATGAAAGTTTGATTTCTGGACAATTTCCAGTGGAAAGAAAATGTTAGATGTGCATCCTTTTTTCTGGCTCTCATTACATTTGAGTGCTTATAATTCCAAATTTTTACCAAAAAGTCACAAAAATCATGTGTAGAGATTACATTTCATAGGAGCTTCTCTGAATCCCTAGTAAATGAACTACTGGTCCTTCAGACTAATGAGAAATGCTGTAAAAATTTTACTTATAAAAATTATTGACAAAATGTCATTTTTATTTTTCTAATTAGATTAGATTATATATGATATAGTATTTTTTTTTTGGTATCAGGGATTGAACTTGGGACCTTGTGCTTGAGAGGCAGGCACCAGAACTACTGAGCTAAATCCCCAGCCCCATGATATACTATTTTGTAATAGGAGTAGTTTTTTGATATAAATTCCCTCAGCATATGAACAGATACTTCATTTTACAGTTAAAGACAATAAATACAATGGGACAAATAATCAAGTGCAAAATTTAGGAGAAATATGATACAATATTTGATTGATTATTAATATTTGATTATTGATTATCCCAATTAGGAAAAACCACATTGTCCTCATTATAATGTTATTAGATATAATGTCTGATTTAAAATATCATGTTTATAGGAAAGAGTAAAGAGAAAAATGAGAATTATTTGCAAATTAATATTAAGAAAAGATATTACTTGTAATATTTACATATATTTACTATTGTATTTTCTAACTAATAATATGCAGAGATGCAGACAAAAAGTTAATAGCTCTGTTTAATCATGAACATTTAAAAACCATAAACTGACATTACAACTGATATTTGTTTGAATCATTTTCACTGACTCAATATCCTGCATCAACTGCATGACATAGAAGCTTTTTGAAATTACTGTAATTTGCTTTCCTATATTTTATGATTTGAAAAAATTGCCAATAAAAGATTATTTTCTCCACAGTATGGCACAAAGCAAGTGCTGCTGTAGGAAATAAATATAACATATCCTTGAGACTGTGGAAATTCTCATTTACATCTTAAAAGAAAAAAATGGTAGCAGTAAGCAACATCATATCCTCTGTAATAAATCATTATGTGTCATTTGCATTAGCTTTTAATTGAAAAAAGAAAACTCTAAAAGCTTTCTCCAAGCAGAATATACTAGAAGGGGTTGGTGCATAGAAAGTAAATTTTCAATTTATTTTCTGACTAACTTTTATCTATGAATTTACTATGACATTTATGTGATATTAAAAGGAAATTGATTTTAAAGTGATGGAAAAATTCCTCAGGGTACATGTGCACAGACTTGCAGTCAGTTTATTAAACACTATGGTTGTGTAGATGGCTACAGTACATGCTAATGTTTTCACTTAGTAATATGATGTTGAGCTTCCAATGGATTCCCCTGCTATGTCTTCCCAGCAGAGATACACTGAAAAGATAAGAACCATGTGTGGAACCCTTCAGCCAGTACTTACTAAGATTTTCCAATTCATCTAATTCCTAGTTTTTAAAACTTTTTATAAAAACATACACATATAATCTATAATAAAAATATGTAAAATATACAAATATATGATATATAACAAATGTATAAAATATACAACCCAACAGTATTCAATAGACTGTTTCTACTTCAAATATTTTAGAAATGGGATAGTGTATAAAACTTTAGTCATTGAGATGATAAGAAATGATTGGTTCTGGTGCCTGCCTCATAAGCACAAGGTCCCAAGTTCTATCCCTGGTACTCAAAACAAAACAAAACAAAACAAAACAAAAAGATAAATGATGAAGAAGCAAGATCACACATTGTATTTCGCTAAATTATAAAATCTCTGAAATGTGGAATATTCAAAGTGATGACAAAGGAGAGGAACTGTCAGGAGTCTAAAGAGAACTCACAGGCCTTTCTCCTGATGAAGGTGCAAGGATAAATCTGTCAAGAAATACCATGAATATAGTAAGTCAAAAAACTGAAATATTTTACTAAATTAAAACTGACATAATTCATCACTAACCACACATCAACTGTTTTCTAAGAGTTTCTCAGGGCTAAGCTCTTTGATTGCCCCCTTCACCTGTGTTTGATTTCTTTCCTCCAGAGATATACACATGGAGAGAAGGTGGACATCTACAATGCCACCACATTGACTCAATTCATCCTCATCAGGCTCTCTGACCTCCCCAAGGTGCACTACTCTCTCTTTGTGGCCTTTGCCAGCATCTTCCAAGTCACCTTGGTGGGAAATGGGGCCATCCTCTTGGCCATCTGGACTGAGGCAAAGCTGCACACTCCCATGTACTTCTTCCTGGCAAACTTGTCCCTCTTAGACATATTCTGCCCATCAACAACTGTGCCCAAGATGCTGCCCAACCTCTTGACTGAAGACCACAGCATTTCTTTTGTTGGGTGTGCTCTGCAGCTGTATTTCCTGGTGGCCCTAGCTGGAACTGAAGTCTTCCTGCTGGCTGTCATGGCTTATGACCAGTATGTGGCCATCTGCTTCGCTCTTTGCTACTCTGTCATCATAACCAAGGCTCACTGTGCTCAGCTGGTCTCTGAGACCTGGGCAGCTGGGTTCCTCGATTCCACCATCCACACAATGTCCACCTTCAGCCTGTACTTCTGCAAGTCCAACCTGGTCAACCAGTACTATTGTGATATCCCACCAGTGGTGGCCCTGTCTTGCTCATCCACTTATGTGACTGAAATGCTTGTTTTAGTGGTAGGGGGTATCAGTGGGTTCATTTGCTTCCTAATCACCTTGATCTCCTATGTCTACATTATCTCCACCATTTTGAAGATCCAGTCTGAGGAAGGGAAGTGCAAAACCTTCTCCACATGTGCCTCCCACCTCCTGGTGGTCTGTCTGTTCTATGGCACAGTCATCTTCACCTACATCCAGCCCTCCTCCATCAGACACTCCCCTGCCAGGGACAGACTCATCTCCATGCTCTTTGGGGTCATCACCCAATGCTCAACCTGGTCATCTACAGCCTGAGAAACATGGAGGTGAAAAAAGGTGCTCAGCAGGGCTGTGTGTGGTGGGATGTGCTGACAGTAAGTGAAACATCAAAACAGAATTACTTAGTACTCTGTTTGGAATAAATTCTTAGGAAAAAAAAACCTTTCTCTTGACACACAATAAGTACCTGGTCATTTTAGCAATGTATAGACACAAGTAGATATTATGTTTGACCTAAGTATGTGTCTCTAACTTCATCCCCTGGAACCTTGAATTTTGCTATCCAAAATAATCATCTCTCTGATTTATCAAATGTAATAGCCTGTTTTAAGCATGCTTGTGTTTTAGCATCTTATCTATATCCATGTCTATATCATACCTATTCCTATACATACATAGAAAAGTACATATATATATATATATGTGTGTGTGATCTATATTTATGTACTTTTACAACTATTTTTCAATGTACATTTAACCATCTATCTCTAAATTACTTTAGACTGTATCTTTATTTTAAGTGTAACTTGACAAATTATAGTTGTAAATAATTCTGGGGTACAATATGATGTCATGGCTTATAAATACAAAGTGTGATAATTAAATTGATATGATTAACATACCCCTCCTCCACCACCTATCATTTTGTGTATGCAGTGGGAACAATTGAGGTTTATTGGTTTTACAAGTTTGAAATGTAAAGTACTTTATGTAATACATTCATTGTGCTGTGCAATACATCTTGTAGGAAGGGAAAGGACCTCACTTGTCCCAGTTCATGCTTTGAACTTTGATCATCATCTCTCCATTGCTTCCACCCACCTGGCTCTGGTACCAACAGTCAGCTCTGTCTCATAGCTCAATTCCTTTACCATTCTGATACAAATGAGAAAAGGCAGCCACTTATCTTTCTATGCTCAGTTTATTTCACTTAGCATAATGGTTCTCAATTCTATACATTTTGTTAGAAATGACAAAATTTCATTTTCAGTGCTAAATGTATCCAATTCTGTATTCATAGCAAATTACTTCATCCATTCATTTGTTGAAGAACATGTAGTTTGATTCCATTACTTTACTTGTGTGTACAGTGCACAAATGAGTATGTGGAAGCAGATTTTTTAACATATTGACTACAGATTCTTTAATTAATACCTAGAAGTGGGATTCTGGATCATATGATATTTCAATTTTTGAATGTGGAAGAAACTCCATACATATTTGCATAAAGGGTATGCTAGCTTGCAGTCTCACAAGTGATGTACAAATATTCCTTTTTCATCATTTCCTTGACCAGAGTTGCTTTTATATTTTTATTTATTTGTGCATTCTTATTTCTAGTTGACAAACAATTGTTGAATATTTGGATAACTCCTTTGGATAACTGCCACTATAGAATGTGAGGGGATTTCTCATTGTGGTTTTAATTTCACGTCCCTAATGATTAGTCATGCTGAGCATATTTCAAATCTGTTTGGTAGATCTATGGGTTCTTTAGGACATTTTAGTTGTATGAATGTGAAATAGATATTTCTAATCTGTAGATTGTCTCTTGACACTTTTATAGAAACTGTTTAGAATCTGTAGTTTGTTCTGATATCATGAATAATTTATCTATTTTAATTTTTCCAAAACATGAACAGGGGATACCTTCCCATTCATTTGTGTGTTTTTCAGATTTGTTCATTGCTTTTGTAATTTGCTATATGCAAATATATTTGTTTCATTATGAAGTACATTCCTTTGTATTTATTTTTTGTAGTTACTATGCATGTGTATGCTTTCTTATTTCCTTTACAACTTTTTGCTTGCTAAAAATCATATCTTGTATCTTTTGTAATTACAAGAAAATGAAATTGGAAGTTCACAGCAAGAGCAATGTTAGAAATTTTATAAATAGATATAGGTTGATCAACACACTTTTGAATAAACAGTGGCCCATTGAGGAATTCATAGAAAAATTGCAAAATTTTTGAAGTAAATGAAAATAGAAACACAACATACTAAAACCTGTGAGGTTTAGCAAAAGCAGTACTAAGAAAGAAAATTATAGCAATGGTTGTCTACAGAAAAAAATTGAAAGATTTAAAATAAACAACCTAATGATGCATTTCAAGGTCTTGGAAAAGCAAAAACAAACTATACTCAAATTGAGGAGAAAGTTAAAAAAAACAATAAAACCATAGGAAAAATAATTGAAATAGAGTATAAAATAAAAATAAAAAGAATCTATAAAAAAGATTGGCTTCTTCGAAAAGTTGAAATTGATGAAACTTCAGTTTGAGGTGAAACAGAGAGAGAGAGAGAGGAGACAGAGAACCTAAATAAGTAAAAGTAGAATTGTAAAAGGAAACTGATAACAGACAATTCAAAGGATAATTAGTAATAACAAGAAAACCATTAATTTATCAAACCATAAAATAGGAAATAAATTGATAAATTTCTGGACATATATCACTTAACAAAATTAACCCAAGAGGATATGGAAAATCTAAATAGACCAATAAGAATTAATGAGATTGAATCAATAATAAAATGTCTCCAATGAATCAATTCTATATTTTACCAAATAGTTAAAGAATCAACCCCAATGTTTCATACACTGTTCTGTAGAATGAAAATGTAGGGAATCATTCAAAACTCATTTTATGAGGTCAGCATTACTCTGCTGCCAAATGTGAGAAGGAAGCAACAAAGATAATCTATATAAACCAATGACCCTGATGACCATAGATGAAAAATCCTCAATAAATTACTTACAAATCCAGGTCACCAAGACATTAAAAAGATCACACAACATGATCAAACAGCTTAATTCCAAGGGTGCAAGGATGGCTCACAATAAGAAAAGCAATAAATTCTATCATATGTATTAAATATGCCTAAATATGTTACTTTATAGATTTTAAGAAAATAAGAATACTTGAAAGTATACTTAGCATATGTTGTAAATATTTTAATTTAATTAGAAACAACCTAGATATTTTACTTTTATCACATAATTTATTTATAACTATCTCTCATTCTTATGTATCCAATTTATTTATAATAATTATCCACAAAATCTGAGACACCAGCTTATTACAAATCAATGTCTGAACCCAATTCTTTCGCAAAAAGAAAAAAAATCTAAAAATTGCTGCAGTTAAGCTATGAAAAGCAATGTATATTGAATCTCAGACACCTAAAATACAATCTTGATTGACTAGCAACTTGAACAAACATATGGTGAAAGTTTGGATGATACATTTATTTACTTTTTAAAGAAATGTAAATTAAATTATTTGTTGAGGATTTGCCTTGTTATTATTCAGCTAGTTAGCCATTAGTGGGCCTGAGGCATAATGAGAGTCCATAATAGTGGTCCTGTCCAATACAATACTCAGTTCAGAATAAACCACAGACTCAGCCAATATGAAAGGAGGGCCAAGCCACAACAGCTCATCAACATCCACCCTAGGAGGCTGTGTGGCTGGGAGGTAGGCAATTGGGACTGGGCAAAGTCATCAAAACAACTAGGTGGAATGTGTCAAAGTCATAACAACCCAGAAAACGCACAGAACACAAGATCCAAATGATTCTATTGGTCCTGAGCACTGTACACAAAGCCAATCTGAAAAGAGCTACTTTCAGCCCTTCATTTACACCTGGCAGGAAGCCTAGTGAGCCCTTCCACAGGGCAGTTTAAAGCTGGTTCCAGGCCAAATGAGCTTTGGATAGAACAACTGTCCTTATCTGCAAAGGAGAAAGCAGTCCAGGAATTTCAGACACCACCACCCACTTTCTTTTATCCTAGGGGCTGCTGTGAGTCTGGCACCAGCCTGCTCTTCTCTGCCTCCAGTAAATGTGCACCTTCACTACCTTTTCTGTGTGTCTTATCTGATTCTCTCTCAGGACACCAAGGACCTGGGAAGAATCCCCCAGGGCCCAGCATACAGTAACACTTCCTGGGACTGAGGAGCCTATGCTGAAACCCGGCACAGATCTGGCCCCTCCCTGGGTGAAGATGGAGTCTTCAAGTAGCTGAAAAAATATGTATGATTTAACCATGCGTAACTGCAAACTAAATTCACACACAGGAGAGGGGATGAGTTCAAAAAGGCAAAAATAAAGCAGTTGTGGATATCACCCCAACCATATTTATTCCAAACAATCTCAAGCACAGTTGCATTAATTCAGAGTGCACTTTCAGTTATATGGCTCAAATTGTACCATAATAAAACTACTTTCTTCTAACTTGAAGAAGCAAACATTACTATAAGTTACACTGAAATGCTTCAGATTCCCAAGCGAAGCACAACAAAGCTCTCTAACAAACAGTTCAAGAAACTTGGACCACAAACTGGCTCATGAAAAGCCCTAACTTTATCTCAAGAGCTCCAAGTTGGTTCACAAGAAGCCCTGAAGACAGGGAGAAGAAGGACAAGACTAAGCAATCATGATCAGTGAGCATGCACTGGGTCTCTCCAAACCTGGGACCGCAGGTTCCTAAAATGTTGTCTTTCCATTATACTAAAACTGCCACAGGGCAGTTGACACTGGCTTGAAGTTTTACTCCTTTCCTCCAGGACAGAATAGACAGAGGCCAAGCCACTGCAAGTTTCAGGTCCAAGTGACTCCATCAGGGGACACTAATCCCCTCGGGACTCCATTTCGTTACCAGCAGGGCCAGGCAGAAACCTGAATCTGGGCCTAGATCATCTGGATTCATTTACCAGCACCCATCCACAGTAGCAGAAAAGCCTGCATAAATGGAAAAATAATTTATTCACAATTTGCCCAAATTGGGAAGGTGCTTCAGCTGTTCCACCCTCAAGGGCACTGAAGCACTGCAGTGTGGAGAAGGGGCAGAACCTCAGCTGGATCAGGTGCAGATGTGGGTTTAGCCAGGCTTTGGCCACCAGGTGGTGCAGAAAGAAATGTTGAATATCAGTTCTACTTGGTATCAGGGCTGGCAGTGTATATGTCCCTTTTCACCTGAGGAGGATGGAGAAATGACTTCAGCATTCCTAATTTTCAAAGATCCATTTTAACCTCTCAGTAGTAAAGCAGTATGGGAACAAAAAAGGAAAATAAAAACTAAGAAAAGTTTTGT